GTCTATGGTGACAGCAGTGCTGCCGTGCAAAGATAAGACACCATAACTTCGTTTTTGGTCGAAATTAGTTATTGATAATTTTGGGACATACTGTATATGACCTCCTTTATCATGTGTATAAGTATCTTGGGGAAAAGCCCAGGAGAAACCAAGGTAGAACACAGTATCATCAGTTACCGCTCTTTGACTTTGTTTTAGATCGCTCAAATTAAGTTACGGTGCTCTGCATCTGTTTAGCCGTTTGTCAATATTACTGTGCCAGATGAATTGCAGTTTAGGTCACTTCAGTATTGGCTTCAAGCGAGAGACCGGGAAGTTGCCGCTTAGTAAAAACACACAGATTTTCGCTTCACAAGGCGTTAACTGATCGACTAGATTCGTGTGGATTATTGGGATGTTTTTATCAGCAGTTTGAACTCTCATTCTGACGGCACCCATTCACTGCACAGAATCCATTTGTGAGCCAGTGATGAAAAGCTAAATTTCTCCAACTATGTTTCTTCATCGGAAAACGAACTCATCTACATCTTGGATGGCCTGAGGGTGAGTACATTTTCAGCCATTTTTCTTTTTTTGCGTGAACTATTCCTTTAATAATCTATACTAACCCAGCAATAGGGTTTGACATAGTCTGACTTCCAGTAGATACAAACACACATATCGTATAGGTATTGCAGACCCCTGGGCCTGTTTCAGTTCGAATACACACAGAGACAAGAGAGCTCAGCCAATTATACTCTCCACAAATTACCCTTGATTAAGCAGCAGAATGCCAGCTGCAGAGCAACTACACCCAGAGATTCTCCCTTCCGCCTGCTCGCTCATACTGAACCAGTCATTCCCTCAACATCCACGGCACATCCCAGTGCTTTCACTCCATCTCATGCACAATCAAGAAGAAGCCTAACTGTAAACTCTGCGTAAATATTTACATAATTACAACCCCCGTGGAGAGAATTCTGCATAAAAGTGGTTTTCCTAAAAGAGCGATTTGTACAAACAGCTAAATGTTTTCGAGCTCCCAGGGTAATATTACTTCCTACCAATGCTGTGCATCAAACAATAAATTACATTATAAATTAATCCAATGCCACAGGTAGAACAATCACTTTTTTTTAGAACAAGCACAATGCAGTCAAACACCAGAACCAGTCAAGCGGAGAAAGAAACAGAGACTGACGCAAACAACGGGAAAGACTTATGGGAGATTTCATGGGAAGAGATCGCTGATGGGTTTTACCTCCATCTGCTGTGCATTGTGAACTAAACTGATAATGTCTCTCCGTTCTGGCAGTGATGTCTAACCCATCATGAATAATACAGGCCTGAAGTACATGTTAGTGCCACTCAGAGGGGCTTTCCCTTGGCTTGCACAGGCAGAAAATGGAACAGCGAGGCAGAAACAGGTCGACTCTCCCACAAGGAATGAATGACACTGATTTGCCTTT